GGCGGCTCCCGCCTCAGCCTTCCCCACCAGAGGGTGTCTGCTGGGTGGGAAGGGGGAAGCCGCGCTCTCCTGGACTTTTGTGGGAGTGGGGGTTGTGTTGTGTGTGTGCTTTTTTTTTAAGGGGGGTGGGGTGGGTTAGAAGAGAGTCTGTGGTTTCCATGGAGATGAAGCTGAAAGTGCAGGAAATTTAAAGGCTTTGGGTCCTTGCAAAGCAGACAAACTGGTGCCAACGTGCGTGGCTGCTGTTGCTGCTGAGGAGGCTGCTTTGCAAACGGCGGAGAGGAGCGGGGAGGAAGAATCGGCAGCAACTTCTTCCATACGCACGGGCGGATAACGAGGAGCAGCAGCAGCAAGCAGAATTTGCAACAAAAAGAGGCATCTCCCTTTGCCGGGGAGGGTGAAAAGAAGCAGCAGCAGCAGAATTTTGGAGCGGCTCCACCAGGAGAAATTTTATAGAGAAGCCTGGAAGAGAGAGTGTTTGCAGGGGGCTTGTTCTCCGGGCTTCTTAGGGGGCTGTCTTTGCTGGTGGTGCGGGGAGTGGAGGTGATCCCCCTTAAAGACAAGCTATTTTGGATATCCCCGTACAAGTTTTCTGATGTATTTGCTTGCACCTTCTTCCCCTGCTGTTTGGTGAACCCAGCCCCCCTCTTCCCCCCCCCACCGGTCTCCCAAGGATGGATCATTCCCAGTGCCTTGTGACTATATACGCCTTGGTGGTTCTGCTGGGTCTCCGGCTAGAGCAAGGCGCCTGCCAGCACTATCTGCACATCCGACCGGCTCCCAGCGACAACTTGCCCTTGGTGGATCTAATCGAGCACCCGGACCCTATCTTTGACCCCAAGGAGAAGGATCTTAACGAGACCTTGCTCAGGAACCTCATGGGCGGACACTTCGACCCCAACTTTATGGCTATTTCCTTGCCCGAGGACCGGCTCGGAGTGGACGATCTAGCTGAGCTGGACTTGCTGCTCAGGCAGAGACCCTCGGGAGCGATGCCCAGCGAAATCAAAGGGCTGGAGTTTTACGACGGGCTGCAGCCGGGCAAGAAGCACAGGCTGAGCAAGAAGCTGCGCAGGAAGCTGCAGATGTGGCTCTGGTCCCAGACCTTCTGCCCGGTCCTATACACGTGGAACGATCTCGGCAGCCGCTTTTGGCCCCGGTATGTCAAAGTGGGCAGCTGCTACAGTAAAAGGTCTTGTTCAGTCCCAGAAGGCATGGTTTGCAAACCTGCCAAGTCCGTGCATTTAACGATCCTGAGGTGGAGGTGCCAGCGTCGGGGAGGGCAGAGGTGCACATGGATACCCATCCAGTACCCCATCATTTCGGAGTGCAAGTGCTCCTGCTAGGGCTTGCACTTACCTTTTCTCGCCCCTTCTCCAGCGGACTCACGTGGACCTTTGCTGCAACAAAAATAAAAGACATTTGCTTTCTGGTTAACGTTGTAATGCACTGTAACGTGTAGGAGAATGTATATTGTGTGTATATATGGCACCGTTTTAATATACTATTAAAAGGTCAGTATTATACGTTAAATAATCAGCGTCTACTGTATTTTTAAGACTATTAGCCTGATCGTTGCTAATGTATCTTTTCTTTTTTTTTTTTTTGGTATTTATATTCCAGAGAGAAGTTGCTTCGCTTTGGCGAAGTAGGTTTTTTGGTGTTGTTTGTTGTTTTTTTTTAATAAAAGGATTAAAAAATACAAACCAAACTTTTTGATAAGAAAACGTTTTAAAGCTATTTTCCATTATTCGGAAAGCGTGTGGGTTATTTTTTTTTTTCTTTTTCCTTATGGACTTTAGATTTAAAATAAAAATGAATAAACGCCTAGAGCACAATGTTATTGTAAATAGAGAGAACAGTTTGAATGACTTAATCCTATGTAAATGAAGAGTATCTGCTATTTATTCTTTATATCCTTGTAGTAAAAGTGCAGTGCAGAATTAAAGTCAACCACTAAAACACGAGCCGTTTGGATTCTGTTTGCTTTTTGGTTTGGCCGCCTTCGGGGAGGCTTTCTTCTCTCTCGTCCTCGTTCTCCACGCTCAGCAGGACGTTTCGCGGTGGTAGGGGGAGGTGGGAACCTGCTCACGACTCTGTTAGAAGGGAATCTTTGGCACCCACACCACAGGAGTGCCCCGGGGGCCCGGCCCCGCGCGTGGGGCAGGCGAGGAGCGGCTCC